CAAAAACAGCTATTCCTGAGAAGGTCGACATTTTACAACCCCCCAGCCAACCATTTAACCCTATCATAGTTCGATTGAAGGATTCATGTCATGTACTGTCCAGTCTGTCGATAATGGCATGAATTCTTAACGATTAGTGATTAATTCGCTTAGCAAAGCCAAATTGTGAATAAACATGGCCGTAAGAGAGAAAGAGCCGATATTGATAGTATGCGTGGAAATTAACAATTGAATTAGTATAAACGGCTGATATTAATTAAGATAAATTCGGAAGAGAGCCGCGTAAATCGCGGAATTGCGCAATCGAAAAAGGAATAGAGAATAAAAAACAGACGATAGAAGCGAAAATCATGAAAAAGATATGCGTAATGAATGAATTATTTGATTGAATGATGACGTTATCGCGAAGATTCCGTATTTTTAAGAAGACAGTCTTTTGAACGATTAGCTAGCGTCATATGATTTGACGTAAGTCGAGATGACAAGATTATTAGGGTCGTCGTTAAACAATTATCAGAAATGACCCCGAAACGAAGAAGCTGGCCGCGACGGTCTTGAAATAAATCGATTGCCATTAAAAACGCATAGCTACCCGATGTAGTCCGTGAAGAGAATGAAGTATATGATGAACTTAGTATATGGACTTCAGATTAGAAGAATTAGAAAATCGGATGGCGTGGTTTCTAGCAAATATAATGTACCAATGTCTGACGTTGAGGACGGCGGATCCGATAGCGTCACCGCGAATTTTTGGGCGCGGATGCTTTGATCAGACACGTCTGCATTCTGATCATGCAAGACGGCAGCCGGCTTAACATAGGATTCGGTGCCTTCGAATGCGTCTGAAAGAAGAAATGATTCGAAAAGAAGATAAAAATTAAAATAGGAAAGACAAAATTAAACTTTTTAAAAAAATATGGGCTAGAAATAAACGAAGTAAATGAATGCTACTTTTAGGTGAACCTACCGACGAAATCTATCCTCGATGATATTGTGGTCTCAACCGGTCTACGTCTTCGATGAATGGTATTCGATAAGGTGTTGGTTAGCGGAGCGATCGTTGTGAACGGCGTCGGTTTCCTACGTCTATTAGAATGTCCATTTTCTGAGTTGCGATTAATCGATTTACCGTTCGTCACCTGCTCGAGATACAATTGATTTATATATTGATTTATAATACTAGAAATAATACAAACTGATATCATAATATTACAATATCATCAATCCAGTTATGCACACACGCATACACACACACACACACACACACACACACACACACCACACACACACATATGTGCATTTGCACATTTTGACAAAGCAAAGCTCTTACGATAGATTCATGATAAAGATAAATAAGAAACTCTAGAAAATCTAATATCTCAGACAACACAAACATCTAAAAGTCTTTTAAAACATTTAAAAAGTTTTTCATTTATATTTATATCTCATTTATCATTTATATTATTAATATGTATTTTATAATCCGTATTCATACCTCACTTTATCGACAAATGCGTGCATTTAATATGTATTGTTATTTGATGTTACATACGTTAAAATTTCAGAAACAAATGCGCACATTTATCGAAAGAGATATGAATATGTTTTTTAGTGTTTTTTTTATACACCTTATCCTTAAAGTGCTTTTTAATCATTAGAATATGCTTTAAATATCTTTTACATATTGTAAAAAATTTTTAAAATTTTTTAGTCATTCCTTTAGAAATGCCTGAAATATCTCTTAAACTCTTTTAGATTCTAAGTTCCATTGGAATTTTGTGTTGCTTGCGATATTCCACGTGTTAAGATATTAATCATTGATCCAGGCATTAAAATGTTGAAGATAACTTATTTAGAAAAAGTAAATGGACGTTCACAAAAATGCGCGCCCTTTGAAAAGATATTTGCTAATTTATAATGCTAGGAAGAAATAGCAGCAAATGAAGATATTCCTTGATTCGTTCGCGTCCCAAAATGTTTGCTCAGAGAGAAAAATTAAGTTTCCAATTTAATCCGGAGTAGATAAGTTTTTAATAGTCAGAGGAAAAAGAGCGTTTTCGAGTAATGTGTCTTAGAAATATGATGATGACGTAGTAGCGTAAAAGATGATAATGCAACTCCTTTTATTTCACGGAAAGTATTTTACTTAGATCCAGTGAGAGGCGATGACCGAGGCTTTGTCAAACTGCCATTCAAGAGAAGCCATTAAGTCATAATCAATTACAATCGGTTCCTTCCAAATTAATCGTTCGTATCCTGTTCATATACCATTAATTGATAAATTATATTTTGATTTGATATCAAAAAATATGACAATTATGGTCAGCAATCGAACAAATGATTATATTAAGCGGTTGAAAGTATAAATCTTCATGGCACTGCCGCTTTGCATTATTCTCTAAAGTCTTTCGGAGAAGTATACCGATCGATTAGACACCAAAAGCAGATTCAGAAGAGATTATATGTTGAGTAAGAGGTATCTTCAGGCGATTTGAAAGTAAGACGTTAAATGATGATTTCTGCGAGAAAATTATGCTTCAAGAGGTCTTTTGGTTAGCGTCAAGAAGAGGTGGTGGTACTCGTAGTAGTAAGTCAGTTCTACTAGGGTTCCTCATTAGTTTTTTGCAGCGTTTCGTTCTTATATTTCCGTTTTGGTTAGGGCAACATGCGATCAAGAAAATACAATGTTATCAATTTAAAGTGGATCTTCGACTTAAAGCTGCACTGACCTCGAGCGAGAATCGATCAGTATCCTTCTCGACCGGAACAGACGTCCTCGTGATCTGCGACTCCGTGTCTTCCGGCTGTTTGGTCATCGCCTTCTCTTCCTCGGATTTAGAATGCTTCATCATTTTTTTCTTGTTGAGAAGATTATCGCCCATATGAAGATTACTTAAAAAGTGAAACGTGTTAAGTACTTGAGAATTTTTCCTAGCAGAATCAGAATCGATATTTGTTTCTTCAGCTACTGAATCTCTTTCCTTGGATGTAGGTTTGACACTTTTCAATGCATCTTTCATTTTTCTTTGTGCGTCTTCTCCATTAAAAAGATTTTTGTGAAGGTTACTTGAAAAATTATCTTGAAAATCTTTATCAGAAAAATTAGAATCAGAATATACACTCGTTTCTTTAACTGTTGAATTTTTTTCCTCGGATCTATATATAGGCTTGATGCTTTTCAATGTAACTCTCGTTCTCCTTCTAGTTCCATGTTTGACAGAAAAATTTTTGCGGAAATTATTTGAAAAGGTGTCTCTAAGACTTCCATTGGTAAAATTAGGATTTACAGTTATTCCTTCAACTATTGAATTCTTTTCTGGTTCAGACTTAAGTTTGACGCTCTTTAATACAACTCTCATTCTTCTAGTCCTATATTCAATAGGAAGATTCTTAGCGTCGTGAAAATTGTTTGAAAAAGTGCCTTGAAGATTTTCATTGATAGAGTCAGGCTCTACAGTTATTTCTTTAACTGTTGAATTCTTTTCTTCAGTCTTAGGTTTAACGCTCTTTAATACAACTCTCATTCTTCTTCTAGTCCTATATTCAACGGGAAAATTCTTAGCGCTGTAAAAATTATTAGAAAAAGTACCTTGGAGACTTTCATTGGTAAAATCATCTTCTGTATTGGTTTTTTCAGTCTTTGTCTCCTCTTCTTCAGATTTAGATTTAATTTTCTTTAATACAACTCTCATTTTTCTTTCTGTTTTTTCCTCATTGGAAAAATTCTGACTTATGTTACGATTATTTAAAAAATTATTTTGAAAATTTTTATTGGCAAAATCAGGATTTGTTTCTTCAGTCGTGGAATTCTTCTCTTCAATTTTTCTGACATTCTTCAATACAACTCTCATCCTTCTTCTTGCAATTCTTTTGTTAGAAAAATTCTTATCTGCGTAAGTACTTTTCGGAAAATTATCTCGCAGATTTGTATTGATAGATTCAAAATCTACCCTCTCTTCTTCGATTAGGTTCTTTTCCTCGGATTTATTTTTCGGATTTTCTAGTTTAGAAAAATCCTTAGCTACATAAAGATTATTTTGAATATTATCTGGAAAACTCTTATTAGCAGAACTAGAATTGGTACTGATGTTTTTTGTTGTTGATAAACTTTCTTCAGATTGTTTCAATATAACTTCTTGTTTTTCTTTAATATTTTCATTCTCATAATGAGTTGGAAGTGTTTCATTTTCAATAATGGTAGATGTTTGAAGAAATACTGTTGTTTCTTCTATGGGTAAAATGGTATTCGTTTCTTCCTTGACTCTTTTCTTCAGTACAACTTTCCTTCTTCTCATATTTTTCACCTGATCATAAGCATGATTAGTAATATTTTGAACATCAACAGTATCTTGATCGGATCTAATAGTATTATTGAACGCTTCAGAATTAGTTCTAATTCTTTTCTGTATTCTTCTTTTACGATTCTTCTCAATCGGTTTTGAAGACGAAATATGAGCAGCAGGTTTTTGTGATCGTCTACGGTACAATATAACCTGACGTCGAGGATATTCATTAGTTCTTTGTAGTGTTGTAGGGCTTCCAAGCCAATTGTTTGTTCGATTTAAAACGCGACGTTTAGCAGTTTTTTGACTGAATTGATAATTGGTTGTATTGAGTTCCAAAATCGTTTGATTCGATTTTTGATTTTCTGTAATTTTTGAAATAGTTTCTTCTGATACCTTTATTTCTGGAGTTATAAATTCGTTCCTCATTGTTTGAGCAGAACTCAATTTGCTAATGGTCGCAATTGTTTGATCTTCAGTTTGACTTTGTGTTTTCATTGACGTAGCTTCCTTAAAATCTGTCTTCTGTTCTAGCGTTAAAGACTCTTCACTTATTGCTCGTATCGAATCTGATTGATAAGTGTCAGTAGTTGTTCGAATAGTGGAGTTTATCGCAATCAGTTCGCCAGTAGTCGCAAAGGGTGTCGTAGAAGCTGTAGATTTTTCGACAGCTACAGTCGATTTGTTAGTAATTAATGTTGTGATCGAAAGGGGGGTTGGAGGAGTTTGAGTGATTACTGGAGTCGAGGAATTTTCATCCCCTTGGGTTGACAATGTAGCTGTTACAACAGATAATGCTTCGAAATTTGTACTAGAATGAGGTTTTGAATATGCAGTCACTGTCGAAGTAAATGTTGAAGGAATTTCGAACGTTATGGGAATTTCAATAGTCTCTGCAATTGTTGTAACGGCTAATATATCGGAATTGCTGCTAATATTAAAATTACTTGAATTTGCGAGATGTATTGTAGAGGATTCAGGCGTTAAAATTGTAGAAACAGTTGAATTTGTTGAAGTTATGTCTGTATTCGTAATGAGAGCCTTGGGCGAAGGCACAGAATTATTTTTAGATCGAATCGTAATTGGCGAGATCTCGCTAGTTGAAGAAGTGGAAGGAATGTTTGTATTTATAGACGATGTAATTACATTAAGATCAGTAGTCGTTGGAATAATTGCATTAAGAGGGGTAGTTATTATATTTGTTGTTACAGTATTTATATCTGCGAGATTATTCATTGTCATGGGTGTAGTTGCATGTATATGTTGCGTGTTCACAGTTGAAGGTATGACTGTTGTTAATGATGAAGTAGTAACGGGAATCGTAACATTCTCAACTGTAGTGAATGTGGAATAATTTTTAGTTATGGAAAATGTTTCAGCACTCGCAGCTGTAACCAAAGTTGTAGAATCAATTACAACATCGTGCGTACTTATAGTTGTTGGAATTGCATCTGTGGAATAATTTGTTATTGAGGAAGTAATGCCAATATTAGCATTTGTAATTTGCACTGCAGTCATATTTGCAGAATTATTTACAATTTCCTGCGTATTAACAGTTACTGGTATGGATATAGGTACGACTCCAGTATTTGTAGTTACATGATTGGTTACAATTGTAGTAGTCTCCGGAATTATATTTACATTTGTAGAAGGAATTTCACTTTCAGTATTTGCTGCAAGTGTAATCGTAGTTGCGGGATCAGTCAGAATTACATTCTCAATTATTGAATTATCAGTTACGGAATAATTTGAAGTAGTTTCAACTTCAGTACTTATAGTTGTGGGTGTATAGATTATGGTAAGTTCAGCCGCAACTGTGGGTGCTTTTAAAACTGCTATCGTCGATGATGTCGTAACAGACGCGTTGACAGGAATATTCATAATTGTAGAATCATCTGAAAACGTTGAAATATCAGCAGTTGTGGCATCATTTGATGGAATAGTTTTGAAAATTGAAGGAGTCGCTGCGATTATTGAATTTGTTAAAGTCACTGTCTCAGTTATATTGCTTTCCGAGTCTTCAGTTTTGGCATTAGAATTCTCAAGATTATTGTAAACGCTTAAAATTTCAGGAGATGCCGTGAAATCATCGGACACCGTTAGAGAAGTTGTTGATATGGTCGAAGCCGTAGGAAGTTTATTTTTTGAAGGCAAAGTCGAAGCCTCAGTAGTTAGAGAAGTGCTTCTTAAAGTGTTCGTCACGGCATAAATAGAATCGCTCTCTGTTTGTCTTATAGCGTCCTTGATTGGTGAAACAGTAGTCTTATTTCTTTTCTTTGCCACTATACGTCTGCCCGTCCACGGCGTGATGGTTTCGTTGTATCTATTTACGGCAATTTTTCGTCTTGTCGACGTTGTCGAAGATGCGATGAAAGAGTTAAAAAGTGGCGTCATATGATCAAAATTAGGCAACAATTTTTCTCTCTTGGCCGTTGGCCCATCGACAAGAGTTGTAATTAAGTCAGATTTTTCGTGATTTGAAATCTCAGCATTTGAGAAAGTCATTGAAGAATTGGATACAGAATATTCCTCTTCGCGAAAATCGATATTTTTATCGATAATGATATTGTCGTCGAGAATATTAGGTCCTAATTCAATCTGATCATTATAAGCGACAGGAACAGTCTCATCAGGTATAGAAACATTGGAAATTAAAATGGTTTCCGTCTGTTGTTCAACGGGAATATCAGTCGTTGTGTAAAGTGGCGTTGAACTATCCAATATCGATGATACATTTTCGCTCCTGGTGATGTAAAATCCACGCATTACCGGACTGGAAATCAGACTATCGAGAGAAATGCCGCGCATTGTCGTTGGTTTCAAATATACCGAATTGGTAGATGTCTTTTGTTTAGTCTCGTCTTCTTGAATAGTGTTCGTGACTGAAACTCGTTCATCAAAGTTTGTAACGTCGTCCTTTCTTAAAGTGCGAGATCTCGCTCTGTTTTCCGAGGCTTGTTGCAGCCACGAATCGTCGGTTTCTTCAATTATATCTCTCGATGACTGGGCGATCTCTTTTTCATCGTCTTGCGACTCATCTGTTCCTCTCAACAACTTCTCGACGTTCTGCCGGCTAATATCGTTGTCCACGTTACGCAACAAGTGCAAGAGTACGGATGACGACGTCGTAGCAGTACGATCGTCGTAATAAGTCGGATAGCCAATCAGCTCCTTCAGAGTCGGCAGCCTAATAGCTTCCGAATCGGCGACCTGAAAATCAGAATAATGCAGCGCGCTTTAATACGGAGGTTCTCAAGGACTTCTGTTTCTCCTTGTCCTCTCCCTTCATAGTTATTATTTCTTATTTCTTTGTAGTCTTCTTCTTTCTGTCTTTCTGTCTATGCGTGAGCTGCGCCAGTTTGGAGGAAAAAAAGAAGGAACATGAAGAGGAAGTCTCTTTAGTTATCTATTGAAGCGCCGCGAACGTGTCTTGCTTGCTGCGTTAATTTGGATCGATTAAGGAATCATCCTAGGACATCGATAGTGTTTAATGATTATTGTATTTGTGGTAAGTAGAAGTACATCATCGAGAAAGTTATCAGAGGTTTCAGTCAAAGGTTCCCCTCTGAGTAAGCGAATGAAGAAAGTGCTCGTTATGATTCAGTCATTATTGATGATGTGAGGATGATGCATGAAGACGATTATTTAGTCGTTGGTCGTCGTGAGCTATAACGAGTCCTTGTCGTTCCTTTTGATTCACATAGTTATATTTAATGTCCATTTCATAGAACAATCTTAAATATAATATAATTAAATTTGTTAAGAGTATTATATACATTAGTGATCTTTAAATGTCTACTAACATTTTAACGTTCCTTCCGATAAATCGGCGATCGCAATTGATTTCTTAATTACTTAATGGCTGGATCTATGTACATTATCGTTGACTACATTGATAAATAGTAACGACATTCGTATACTATTATTTCGCGGAGCCCTTGCCGGCGATCAGATTGCTGAATACTGACTCGATCTCAATAGTCGAAGACTCATAAGATTCTGTAGTGAATCGATCATCGTAACGATAATTGAACTCGCCCTCGATGGGCAAGGTGGATCGCTCGACACCATGACGAACTTCGTTGGCAGTGTCATCGTTGACTCCAGTCACCAAAGTTGACGATGGAGTCATTGGAGAGAATTGATCCGCTGGTATCCTCGTGGTCGAGGTCAGTGACGAATACTTGGTCTTGATGAGGATCTTCTGGCGCTCCGTGGTGCCGGACTCTGTTACTGAGGTCACCAATCTAGTTACGGATGGTTTTATTGTGGTATGCGTATAGTATGGATCAATTAAATTTTGCGAGTCAAAAAAATCGTTGCTCCTTGGCGTCGTTGTTCTCAGTGATTGCTGTTTCCGATGGAAAGCATCCGCAACGTAATCAAATTTTTTCATCGGTATCAGAGTCTCCGTGACTGCCGCTTCCGTACTAGTCGACGTACGTTTTGGATACGAACGTGTTCTGAAGTATTGCCAAGTGCTCGTAGATTCCGGACTCGGCTGTGTAGTTTTTTCTTCGATTTTAACATTGTTCCGATTTAGAAGCTTATAACGCATTCGCGGCTGCCGGAAGCCGGATTGTCTCAGCCTGGCATCCCTCGTCTCTGGCGTCTCCTCGGATTCTTCAGGTGCAGAATCTAATGGAGGATATCGCCTCGGCGATAAAGCTTCTTCGGGATCGAATGGCCTCTTCAATATTATTGGAACCTTGTATCGTGGCCGAATCTCGGGTCCGCGAGTAACAATCGGTGTTAATCGATACGTATTATTTTCTGTAAACTCTGTTCTCGCGACTTTACGGCCTTCAACATCCTCAATATAAGCTGAAGAATAATTTATTTGATCTCTTAACGAAGTCGTGGTGTAATGTTTCCAGAATTCCGCGGCGTCATCCGAAAAACCATTTGTCGAAATCGATTTGTTTCTCAGAGTCGTACTTTTTACAACGTCCTGTCTAGGTAAGTCACGAAATCTGCTTGTATTCTCTTTTTCTTCTCCTTCTTTCTCTTCTTTATATTTAAGATCATCGTAAAATATATTAACGGTACTAGAAGAAACTGGATGACGTCCAATAAATAAGTGGTTTTTACGTTTTGAGAGAATCTCGAGGCTGTTTTCCGTTGATGACAGCGCAGGAATGTATTGGTTGGTAGTGTTCTCTGAAGATGATACAGGATTCTTGCGAATGAACTTCTTACGCGCAAATCTCGAATCAAAACTCGATCTTGCAGCTGAAAATGAATCTGATTCCGTCGTAAATGGTGTAGTAGTTGCTTGAGTACGAGTGGTAGCTGAATCTAAATCCGACGTGGTGGTTATTTGCACGTTAGTAGTGAATAAATTCTCAGCTTCAGTAGACGGTATTAATGCATCTTCTAAAAACATACTTTCAGTGTTATAAGTAGTGGCTGTCGCCAACGTTGATTCAATTGTAGTAACTCCGGTATCCATTTCAAACGTTGACCGCTGAACCTCGTCAGCATCTGTGTTAATTGTTGATATAGTAGCAGTGCTGAGAATATCTGTAACTTCTTTGCCTGATATCGTCGTGGTTTCAATCGCGGGAGTCTCCAAAGTAACCTTCGGGAAATCATCAGGGTTGTAATCGGTAGACAAAGTGGTTTCCGTGACAGTCAAAGTCGAATCTTCCATTTCTTTCGTAAGTTCGGTCAAACCAGTAGCAATCGTCGATTCTTCAGTATTTTGGCTTATTAAAGTAACCTCTGTCTGATTAATAAAAACTGTTGATTTTTCAACATCTTTATCGCTTCCCATTGGAGTCGTCGATTTTAAAAAAAGACTCGAATCTTCTTCTTCTTCGAGGGAAACTTCAATCGATGTTGAAGTATTTTGAAGCGGACGTTTACGTTTTATCACTTTTCGTCTGCGAGGCCCTTGAGATGTTTCCTCTTCTTCTGTTTCAATAATATTAACAACTGTGCTCGATGATATCGGTCTCTTTCTTAGGAAAATCTTTCGTTTTCTTGGCGTTCCTGATGTTTTTTCTGCAACATCAAAGGCGCGTTTAGTAGAAACGATCGTTACCAAATCGGGATTAAATTGATGAGTTTCGATGGTCGTTGTGGCAACAGTATCTTTGGATTGATTGCTCGCATCTACTTTATTGCTAGATGCAGTTGTTATATCAATTTGCGTGATTGGTTTCAAATCATAGATCGGCTGAATAGTGTTGGATTCAACAACGGAATCAATTTTTGCGGTTGATTGATCAACGCCATTCAATAAATTGTTTCTTTCAATCCTGTCAGTTTCCGCAGAAGTACCTGTTCTAAAAGCTTTTACTGTTATCGATGGTATGTGTTTTTGGTTCAAGTCATCGTTTACTTTTTGCAACGACTCTTCCACGTTGTTTCTCTTTCTCGTGTACTTTGTTCTATCATACAACTCGCGATTAACAGTCGGCTTTCTAAATACCCTAATGTTCGTTATTTTATTATTCTCCTCGTCAGATCGCGATTGATATAACGGATTTTTTCTAGAACCACCTTGTGTTATTCTTACTATCGGGCTATCATCCAATTCATTGGCTTTAATAGATTCTGGGTTATTGACTCTGCTAGGTCTTCGATATCTTCTCTTAACATCATCAATGGTAACTGTACCAACGGTAGTTGAAGCTGTTGTTCTGTCTCTTTCTCTGTATCTGAGGCCTAGGACAGAGTTCGCGGAAACATCTTGCGTCTTTGATCTCGACGTTGGTGGAGTGTACCTGCTGGATCCTCTGCCACGTGATCTACTAAGGTCTCTGCTTCTGGATGTGGAAGTCTCCGCACGTGGAATGTCCACTTGATCCACTAACTCCTCCTCGGTAACTCGTTTGACTGGTTTCGTCCTTAATCGAACTCGCCCCAGAACCGGATTGGACGGACGCGTAGAATTTCGCGGTGTAATACTCACCTTGGACCTGCTCAATGGGGTCGTAGCCGTCGTCGTCGCTT